GGGTGCAGAGTCTTTCCCAGGAAGAATGAGACTGGAAAGGACATCTTATAATCATAACAGGGAAATGATAAAAAGAAAATCTCACATATTGAGATATAGAGTCATTCTGGCTTATACATGAGTTAACTTGAATTTTATGCTAACTAAAATAGCCCGCTTGTGTTAAGACCTGCTTTTAATCTTTGTTGTTGTAAAGCAGCAGTCCCCAAACTTTCTGGCACTAGGGACTGGTTTTGTGGAAGACACTTTTTCCACAGACCGGGGATGGGGGATGGTTTAGGGATGATTCAAGTGCACTGAATTTATTGTTGAGTTATTTCTATCATTATTACCTCAGCCCCACCTCAGATCATCAGGTGTTAGATCCTGGAGGTTGGGGACCTCTGTTGTGAAGGAGCAGTCTTTACTCTAACTCAAATTTACTCCATTACTAAGCTATGGTATTTTCAAGAAGCACAAGAAAACCCAGGATAAAACGGGAGCCTAGTCAGTTTGGGAGGCTGGTATGAGAAGACTTGAGCATATTGAGAGATGAGCAGGAATTAGTCAAATGAAAGCAGGCAGGGAAAGTCGGGTGAGGGGAATAATGTGCTTACTCTTACTTGCATGTGGAAAAGCCTGGAGATGGTGAGTATATGTCTGAGTAAGAATTGGGCTTCCCTGATGGCAGGGATGGTAAAGAATTTGCCTGAAATGCAGGAGACCAGGATTTGACACACAGTCCAGTATGACATGGGAGGACAGAAAGGGAAGAATGGAAGAGCTAAGGCTAGTAAAATAAGCATAGATTAAACAGGCATAGCAAATGAGTTTGCTCAGAACCATATTTCTCAACTGTTGGGATTACTACCTACAGGTTTTAACAGAGTGGGTCTCACTTAAAAAAAAAAAGATATTTGGAGTGCAAAAGAATAAATGATACAGTTTATAGAAATTCTATTTCATAGTTTACTGCAAACCTTTATTAATATGTAATTTGCTTAAATCTTTTGCTTACATTTTTCTCCTATTTGTTACCATCCCTCTTTTGGAGCACTGACTTTGGAGTTCTGAGGACATGGATTAAAATCTCAATTATGATTTTGAAAAAATCTCAATTTCTGATTTTTTAGCTGCATAATTTTGAGCAAGTTCCTTAATCTGAGTCTTTACTTTCTTTATTCATAAAAGAGTAAGGGAGGGCAAAGGTATGAACTCACTTACAGGGCTGGTATAAGTTCAAAAGACACAAACATCTATCAGTATCCACTACATTATCATCTGGTTGACACTTAGGCTGCTTCCAAATAATTAAATTACTACAGTTTTAATCTTACTTAATCATTCAACATGCTACTATCCTTGGATAAAAGTCCTAGAGAAAACAATTCCTTTTCTAGCCCAGAAATTCTCAACAAAGGCTGTACATTTAAATCATGTGAGGAACTTCAGAAATTACTGATGCCCAGTCGCCATGTAATTTAATAGGTCTGGGGTGGGGCCAGGCATGGTAATATTTTTTAAAAACTTTCTAAGTGATTCTAACATTATGCATGGTTGAAAACCACTGATCTACCCAGGGAAGGCTAACCTTTTCATCTCTCTGAAATCAAGGTGTGTGTGTGTATAGCACACAAAGCAAAACTTGATAACATGAGATTTATTAAGAGAAAAACAACTGCAGGCCATAACTGACACTGATGATGAGAGTTGGCTACACACTTGGCTGACTTCTTCGATTCTATTTTTAAAGTTAAATCCACACTGGTTATGTAACACTGGGGCTAAAGGTTTTACATAACAAATCCTTTTGATTTTGTAAAACCCAGATAGTTGATTTGTTGAATAAAAATCTTTATTTCATTTCTTTAAAACTATTTCTATAACAGAATTTCCTTTTACACAGAAAGCCTGAGGTTTTTCTTTATAAGTTAACTTTTTTTTTAAAGAACTGTTTACTTCAAATCCTTGTTTTTTAAAAATCCCTCATTCATTTTGAGTTTCATTCACTTCCAAAAAGGAGTCTATAAGAAAATTAATAAAACAAAAAATAAGGCTAACATTATGATGATATGACAGTTTGGTAAATGCATTATAAGAATATATAATATATATGTATATATACATAGAAGAGCCTTTTAGACTTCTTTTTTCTTTTTTTGGACTTCTTTTTTAAGATTCATTTGGTTTTGTTTTGGTTTTTTTTTGGTTTATTATCTTTTTTGCTTTTAAATTTATTTTTTAAATTGAAGTATAGTTGATTTACCGTGCTTCAGATTACAGCAAAGTGATCCAGTTATATTTAGTTAGATATATATGTGTGTGTGTGTGTGTGTGTGTGTAGGTATACATATACACACACATTATCTTTTCAGATTCTTTTCCAACATGTTATTATAAAATACTGAGTACACTTCCTTATGCTATAGAGTAGGTGCATGTTGGTTATCTACTTTACACACATAGTAGTGTGTACATGTTACTCCCAAACTCCTATTTTATCCCTCACCTTTCTACTGTGGTTACCATAGCTTGTTTTCTATGTCTGTGAGTCTGTTTTATAAATAAGTTCATTTGTATAATTTTTTTTAGATTCCACATATAAGTGACTTCGTATGATATTTGTCTTTCTCTGACTTATTTCACTTAGTATGATAAACTCTAGGTCTATCTATGTTGCTCCAAATGGCAGTATTTCATTCTTTCCTATGGCTGAGTACTATTCCACTGTATATAAACACATTGTCTTTTATTCATTTATCTGTTGATGGAGATTTAGGTTGCTTCCAAATAATTATTACTATAGTTGTAATTTTAAAAGGAAATCTTTAACTTCCAGTTTTTGGTAGTGGTATAAAGTTAATCTAAATAAGCTCAGTAGTATGTTTTTCTTTTTCTTCTGTGCCACACCACACAGCACCTAGGATCCTAGTTCCCTGACCAGGGATCAAACACATGCCCCTGAACTGGAAGTATGGAGTCACTGGACTACCAGGGAAGTCCTCATGCTCAGTATATTACATAACTAGAATTTCATCTTTGTTATCATTTTGAATATTCAATTACCCTGACACATAAAAATCCTTGAATGACTTGCTATTCAAAGATAAAACTTTATGTAGGTTTAATTGTCTTTATGCAAGTTCCTAGTAGAAACGGTTGAATCTAGCATCAACCCACCAAGTATTAAATGACTTTACCAGTTTCAATAGATGTCGATTGATATAGTCTGACTATAAATCATTTTCTAGCCAGTGGATAACTGAACACATAGCTTAGACATTCACTATTAGAACAATAGGAGGTCACCAAGTATTAAATGACTTTACCAGTTTCAATAGATGTCGATTGATATAGTCTGACTATAAATCATTTTCTAGCCAGTGGATAACTGAACACATAGCTTAGACATTCACTATTAGAACAATAGGAGGTCCATAGGGAAGAAACTTGATAAAATTCCTTCTGGTTCAGTGATTTGCAGGGAAGAGATATCTCAATTCTGTAAAGAATTTCCAGTTTTTAACTAATTCAATCAGTTTTTCTAATCTTCCTGATGACCAGAAACAGGTTAGGAATGGGAAGTAGTAGAATGAAGATGAGGATATCTGTTTTTAGCCACTGCCATTAAAAGCTTGGGAAAAAGATAAATCCCAAATCAACAAAGAACATTCTTTCCTTAAAATGTTTTAAAAATAAATATATGACCAATCTTCAGAACTATGTATACCATGGGTAAGTTAAAACTTTTAGGAATGGAGACAATTGGGATAATTCCTGAATACTGTATAATCAATACCTAGAAGAAAGTTTCTAGTTTCTTGGCAAAGAAAATGTGGGATGGTAGGGGCTGACATTTTGACATTTTATCTGAAACTGTGAAACAGAAAGAACTGTGCAAAACATATGACTCAAAAAAAAAAAAAAAGAAAGAAAGAAAAAGCCCAAATGTACAACTCTGAAAATACATGGTCAATGTTTAATATTCTGAGGATTAAGTAAAAAAATCAAAAAAAATTTTTTTACTTGACCAAGTTCATTTCCTCTGAATTCTTATAAGAGTTAAAAACAAACTATCACACTTTTTGATTTAGAACCATCAGATTTTACTTCAGGAAAATCTAATACCTTTCAAAAGTTATAATTTTAATGTTAGCACAAAAAATTACTTCCTAACATTTCATTTTAGAAAACCTTTTCCGCAGCCAAAGATTCTTATTTTTGAATTACAGTACTGCAAGGCACATACAGAACTCATCTCCTTCAAAACACACAGAAGATATACTCCCTGAAATAGAATTTTTAAAATCCTCAATTAGAAATACTACAAAGTTAGCAATTTTTAGGTAAAAATGTGACTTCTACAGGATCATGCACCTTTCTTAAGATCAAATTCAGCACATATGTATAAATAATCTTTTTAAAACGTTTTTACTTGAAATGCAGAGACAGCAATGCTGAAGACAGCACTGAACAAACCTGAAAAGTACTACAGCTCGATAAAGTTCATGTTATTGCCTTCATAAGAGACTGTATCATCGCTAGTATTCTCAAAGACTTGAATTTAATAATGGGGTAACTACAAAGGGAATAAAATATTTTCTTTCTTTTTAAATAATATTTCCTTCACCTCCAACACATAATTTTTTTTATAAAGGATGCTAAGTGAAATCTATTTTCTGTTCGGTAAAACTGAGCATAGGACCATTTAAATGCCTCTACTAAATTTAATGCAGCTTCATTAGGGACCAGGTACATATTTTCCTCTGAAAATTTTTGGTCAAGCATGTCTAACCATAAAAGCAAATGGAGTTTTAAGAGGTAGATTTTTTTTCCCATGATGCATTTTGTTAATAAATGTATTGTCAAGAAAATAAAACAAGCACTGAGTGTGTTTTCTTAAAGTATAAGGGTCTAATGAAAAGAAAAATAAAAGATAGATATGATATTTGTTACAGTCTGACATTTTAACAGTCATGGTATTGGATGTTTTGTGACCAGTGCATTTTGGACTCTCAGCATCAAAATACGAGTCTTCCAACCGTATTAAATCCTCCTCCACCCCCACCACCAGTTGGTCCACAGCTTCCGGGGGGATCGTTGTCATCAAACCCATTGGGCCGAAATGAACAGGATGCAGATGCAGCTTGTAGGGCCCGGGCTCGAGCATTCAACTCTTGTTCCTGAAATTTAAAATAGTTTTTATGACATTAAAACTCTAAATACCGTGGATGAGTATATCACCTATAAAAATATTTTTAAGTTGCTTTAATCCTTAAGTATCCTTCAGATCTCAGTAACTTTAAAGACACTGATTACACTAATCCTTAACAAATCGTACTAAAGTACGATCACAGATAGGGCAAAGAAGATAGAGAGCAAAATCCTGGTGTAATGCTATGGAATGATAGATCCTAAAGGCCATTCTTTGTCAATACCCCACTTTAACTGAAGTCCCACAGTCTTCAGATTTCTCTATAGAAACATCACAGTTCTTGCAAAGCTCATCAACAAATACAAGAATGGATTTCTTTCCTAATACACAGAACATAGAATTCAAAGGTTATGACAATGGATTATCTACTTTCCGTCAAGTGGGGCTGTTTTGGAAGTGGGTGATTACAGTAAAAGGTATAAATAATGAAAGAGGGCTCAATTTTTTCCTGCCCTTTCCTCAGAATATTTCTCAGTAAATAACAGATCTCATCTCAAAAACATTGCTAAAGAAAATGGAGCCTGTCTCCTTACAGTATTACTTAAAACCATCCCCTACCAGATTATTAGAACTTTTATAAGGACTCATATTCATCTATGTGCCAGACACATATTAAGTGCTCAGTAAATAGTCATGATCTCAAACTGGAACACTATTAGGTATTTAGCCATGAAAGGAACAAATATGAATAAACATTTATTTATAAATTGCAAATTCATTTGGCAAGGTGTTGAACTGGATTCTAAAACTGGCACAACTCCTAGGAAGAATAAGCAAACTATTTTGGCATAGGTCCATTTTCTGGGAGAGTCTGTAACTCTCAAATGAGGGCATCAGTGTCAACAAGGTCTAAAAGCCACTGGTGGCAGCATAGCCCTTAACTGGTTAGGTATGATCATCCTGGAGAACTCTCCCAGTGCCGTCAACATTAATAATAAGAACTGTACTATCTCCAGCTTTTCAACTACAAGTCCAATTAGTTTGCTCTTCCTGGCAATGTAATGTTCAATTCTAGCTAAATTTTCTTAGTTGACTATTCTACCCTCTTCATGAGATGCCTGATTTTTACTATGGAGGAAAGACCTCAGGCTTACCCTGACATCTGTCTCCATATTACGGACACCCTGGTTTCTCAGGAAGCATGCATGACCGCTGTGTGATGCCAATACACAAAATGATCAACAACCACATATTTTTATGGCTGAATGTGATCATAGATAAGAAATCCTTATAGCAGAATGGCCTCATTAACCAGTCTCTGATAGGCCCTTAGAAAGGCTTTTAAAACTTAATTTACAGGATATTTCTCAAAAACAATTTTTCCATTAACTCTACCATTTACAACATTTATAACTGCTGGCTCCTCTGTATCATGTCTAACCACACAATATTTCTCAGGGATTATATTAATTTATTCTTCAATTTGTAAAGTTAGAGTAAGATTATATATATTTGACAGATAAAAAATAAAAGCTGCCATAGAGATTATCAGAAATAGACACAAAAATAAGGACAGAAATACTCCATTCTGGCTCTATAATATATTAAGCTATCTAAACAAGCAATGAAAATATGGTTCTGTATCTAAGAAACAATATTAGGTTTAGGATACAGATCATGTTCCCAAATGAAATAAATAAACTGAGTAAATATGCAAGGCAGAGTTCAAGAAGTTCTCCTCAAGAAGATCTTGCCTAGACTCTATTCAAAGGTGATTTCCCACCAGAAACTATGTTGAAGAACCTACACAATACAAAGCTGAGTAACCCCGCTGCTTCTGAGACACTTGAAACCCATATTATGTTATACTTTAAGATATAGAGTTTCTCAAGGAAGTAAGATTCCATTTTTACTTTTGTAGTTATTTATATAAATACATGGCTGATGGAGAAAAGCATATGATATTCTGTTTTCAGAAGAAAAACTTCAACTATGGATAAAAGTAGGGAAAACCACTTTTCATTTCTTTTAATATAGATGAGAATATTATGTAAATTCACAAATTATGGATCTCATAAGTAATTTTTACCCAACTGTATATCAAGTATTAAAATTAATTCTTATTTCAATAGTGGACTATTGGTCAAGTAACAAAAAGGAGCTACTGTTGCTTTGGGACAAAAACCTTTCAGTGTATTTAGATCTCTCATTTAAGTAAATTGGTAAACATAAAATTGATTCAGCTTTTTTGTTTGTTTGTTTTAAACTACACAGATACAATATATACTCTTATGTATGATGAAGAAAAATATTCAGACAAACTCCCACCTGCTCCAAAGACAGAAAAGAAACTGAACCAGAAAGGAGAGGGTTATCTGCAGTGAGGGTGGAACACGTGGGGTTAGGTGGTACCACTCACACAACCTTCCTCACACTGGATCCTAACAGAAGGCATGGGTTTTTAGTCCACACGGTAAAAGACTGGAGATGCTCCTGATGGAAAATGGGGGTAGACGTGTATGAGGAGCGAGCCCTTTCCCAAATTCACTTCACGACCCACAGTCTGCACTGCTTTCCTCTGTGTCAGCTCATGATACAGAGTAGAGAAGAGTTTGTGTGGCAGAATTTTTTTTTGCCTAGGCTTTTCAAAACCACTAGTTCTTCAGAAACTGGAAAGAGCAAGAGTCTTTCTAACACTTGTAAATCTAGCTGTGACTTAACTCCATACCCTTAATTTTACTAAGATTTAGTAAGTTTTTTACAGCTTTTATAATTAGGCAGAATGCCATTTCTTAAAACCAAAGTTGTATCCAAAACATAGCAATCTATTACAAGTATTATTACTATGAAATGGGCACACATTTTTAACTATAACTCAAGAGTGAATGTAAAAACAATACTGGAAATGAAAGGAAAAATATACATATATATGTTCCACATGTTCAAAACTAAAGAATGACAGCTGAAAACTGCTATATATAAAATCTCACCACATAATCTGTCAGGCAATTATGAAGACGTGTTCACAACAGAAGAAGCACTATAGCTCTTAATGAAAACTTAAAATACCAGAATGATTTGGTTACACAGTATGAGAAACATCACCATTCAAAACTTATCAATTATATTACTGTATTTGAAATTAAATAATATAAAGTCTAAATATATTAAAGTTTCTAATTAATTTATTTGTTAGTGTAATCTGGTTCAAAAAGTCACTTTAATATGAAGCTTTAACAGCCTAAGAGTCTTAATACAGATAAATAAATAATATCTTAAAACAGGTAATAACTTTAATGTAAAATGTAGTGATAACTTTTTTGCAATTAGACAACTGGACAATCTGAGACTTAAAATGGAATTTAGAACAACAGCACAACACAGAGAAGCTGAATTAACAAAGTACAGAATGGTTTTTCTTTATAATGACATGAGGATAGTAAAATAATAATGAAAAGAATGGCTCATACAGGGTTTTTAAAAGGCTCATAAATAAAGTTTAAACAAAAATGGCAAAAAAAAAAAAAAAAAAGAATGGCTCATAAAAAAAAAAAAAAAAAGAATGGCTCATCACAAACATTGTAAAATCAGGATGTAATGGGGTAAGTTTTTGGCATTCCAATTACAGAAATCAGAGTAGTTTTTGTATATTTCCAAAAGTCAAGATTGCATTGGGCCTCATTTTCATATTTTATATTGTAGAAATTCTATTTCAACCTTACCTTCTTACCCTCACTCCATCTCTCCAATGTTAAAAGAATCCTGATGATTCCTATCTAATGGCTTATCTGATATCTAGTGAGAAGTACATGGTTGAATATATTCTATTACCTTGACCATAAGCCTTTCTGGTAGTGAATAAGGAATATCCTGAATTTCTGATTTTTTTTCCCTGCAAGATGTATTGTTTCTGTGTAATTCTAGAACACTGCCATACTCCTTTAAAAATGTATCATGTATCATTATTTATTTTATAATACAGTAAACTTTCCCAAAAATCAGTACTCTTTTTTCCTCTTATTCTGTATCTTTTAAGAGCCTGTAACACAAAATTTTTAGAAACTTAGATATTTAAACTCATAAAATCATTTGGGCTACCCAACTATTATACCTATAGTTTTAACTCCTATTTACTGTTGGTCTTTTATGTTGATAGCAAGTTGACAGGTTTCAAAGAAAAATACTTTCAGCAAGGTCTATATTAACTTTAAAGTAAGAAAAATCTTTGTGAAAAGTATAAGTAAATTCTGCTCAAATGAAATCCTTATTCCATAGTTTTATTTACTGTTGTATTATTGCCTTGATTCTACCGATCAGGTCCTTAAAGAATACAAACATCTGTTGTGTACATATTCTACCTTTTAATCTCCTTTTAACCACTTGTCAATAAATAGTTCTTAAAATATTTGTACAAAGGTCAAGAAGGAATCAATACAAATTTAGCAGTTGTTTCCCCTGGCAGGTGGAACTAAAAGGAAGAGGAAAATATTTCCATTAAACTTCCTAAATTTCTGAATGGCATGATTTTATAAGGATCAGATCTTTTCTACTTGAAAACAAAGAAGGGCTTCTACACTGCATCTAATTGTGACTCTCCATAATGAATTCATAATATTAGCAAGTAAGAAAATTTAGTTATATAGGTTGTGAACCCAGAGTCAAATTTCAAAATCACCACTTTGCAAATTCCTTGGAAGTGTAAAAGCTGGATTTCAAAATTAAGGCAAGCATTTAATCATTTATCAATTGTTTAAATATCTTCCACAAATGATGATTATATTTCCAACTTACCTGTAAATATAGTTTATTGTCTTTTGTTATAGCATCCATTAGTTCTTTCTGTAGAGGTGGGTCTCCATTTACCCAGAGTCCAGTGGTTGAATTATTACCAGTTAAACCATTAGTACTGTTCTGTCTCTTATACAAAAGTACATAAGCTGTATCCTTGGGAAACCTACTCGTAATTTTCTGGACTGACTGAAATGAAGTAAACGTCACTCGGCTGTCATTAAATAAAAACCATTCTTTTGACATGTCCTTATTTTCCAAGTCCTGTTCGATCACTGTGGTGGGACTATCTCTCCCTAGTAAGTGATTCCGGGAGGAGGAAAACGCCAGAGTTTCAGGCTGGGGGCACATCTGGCAGGAGGACTCTGTTCCTGTGACGTTTCTGGCATAAGAATAGTAATGCCCACTTTCTGAGGACACACCAGAGTGAACGACCACAGAACTCAAGAGATAGGGCACCAGTTTTGGGGAGCAAGCTTCTTCAGTCCCAGAAGGCTTTAACTTTTTAGCTAGATTCTCACTAATGTCAGTGAAGTCAGCATCTAGAGACCAACTTTCTGACAACGAAGAGAAAGGAGTTCTTTTAACTGGCAACTCCAAAACCAGTGGCAGTGACACATTGTCTAGTATTTTTCTTCTCACATGATACTTCTGATCATATGAAAATCTTAAGAGAGTAAGGATAAGGTACTCAGGTTCCTCTGTGATTTGCATAGTTTTCTCGGCATTCTGCAGAGAGGCACAGTTTTCACAATAATATTGGTTGTCACCAGTAAGAATCTCTGGAGCCAAAAAATAACTTAGTAAGTCAGTCACTGAAGGTGTGGTTTCACCTCCGGGTTTCTGAGGTACATCTTTATTAACAAGCATCTTGCTCAAGTCACTAGGGACAGGAGTGTCCTCAGGACAGAACTCATCAGGACTGTCAACCATTCCTTCGCTCACGGCTGAGTCACAGGCAATGGCTACTGCTGACAGGTTACAGGCTCCTGGTTCTTCTGAAGGACCAGGCCCACTGGCCTGTGTTAGGCCATCATCTTGTATACTGGGTGATGATGCTGGATCTTGAAAAGACAAGTTTTCCACAGAAGAGGAAGGACAAAAGGCCAGTGAAAGATCAGTAAAGGCTTCCACTTTTTGTGAGGTACTCCTGCAGTTCAGACAACAAATGTGAGTTCGTAGTTTTCCTCCAAACATTTTTTCAATTAGTGTCTTCTCACCATCACCTGTGCAATGGGTCTCTGTGAGGGCAGCTGCTTTATTGACTACCTCTTGCAAAGAAGTTTCACTGCATCCCGGATTTGCAGAAGACTTGTGTGAGGACTGAACTTTCAAGATCTTTTCTTCTTCATGGAGCCTGTAGGAGAGTATATCATTATATAGCTACTTCGCTTAAATTTAAGTCAGTTCTACTTAAAAATATTAGTGGCTTAGCTTATATAAATAGCCAAATTATTCTTATCAAATATAATGCTTGTTTAAAAAATCAAGTTTCTCCTTTAATCTAGAGGAATATCAAACAGTTTGAGAATGTAGATCAGAAGAGAAGTCAGGGATTGTTCCTGACCTATATTCTCACTACACTTTCTTCATATTGCTATTTTATAGCTCTTATACTATATATACCCACTGACTGTCTTATAGATCTTTGTTTGCCTGGCACCTCATAGAAAGCCTGGCACAAAGAAACTACTCAACGTATCCTTATTGAATGGGAGGGACATGTTGCACATGTTGGGTTCAACTAACTTACTAGTCATTTACATTCCAGAAAGGAGGCAAAGACCAGGAAATAATAGGTTTTATTACCTAAGTGGGAAGAAGACAATAAAACTTACCAAACCCACCTAATTATCAGTTGGTCTAAAGGTGAAGTTATTAAATTTTGTTATCTCAGAATGCCTTTATACTCTTAAAAATAACTGAGGAACCTGAGAGCTATCATGTATGTGGTTATATCTATCAATATTTACTATATTCAAAAATTGAGAATAAAAGTAATAAAGTGCTACACAATAATAAATAATAAACTCATTATATGCTAATATAAATAACATTTTTAAATGAAAAATAGTTATATTTTCTAAACCCCAAAAAATTTAGTGAGAAGAATGGCTCATTTTGCAAATATTTCAAGCATCTGGTTTAATAGAAGGCAGGCTGGATCCTTGTATCTGCTCTGCATTCAGTCTATTGTGCTCTGTTGTTTTGGATGAAGTATATGAAGAAAGTCTGGCCTTAACTACACATACACAGATGTGTAGTTGGAAAGGGAAAGATCCCTGAAAGTGTTTTGGGAACTCCTAGGGGTTCTCGGGTCATGGTGGGGAGGACTGACAGAATGTGGTCCACTGGAGAAGGGAATGGCAAACCACTTCAGTATTCTTGCCTCGAGAACCCCATGAACAGTATGAAAAGGCAAAATGATAGGATACTGAAAGAGGAACTCCCCAGGTCGGTAGGTGCCCAATATGCTACTGGAGATCAGTGGAGAAATAACTCCAGAAAAATGAAGGGATGGAGCCAAAGCAAAGACAATACCCAGTTGTGAATGTGACTGGTGATAGAAGGAAGGTCCGATGCTGTAAAGAGCAATACTGCATAGGAACCTGGAATGTTAGGTCCATGAATCAAGGCAAATTGGAAGTGCTCAAACAGGAGATGGCAAGAGTGAATGTCAACATTCTAGGAATCAGTGAACTAAAATGGACTGGAATGGGTGAATTTAACTCAGATGATCATTATATCTTCTACTGTGGGCAGGAATCCCTTAGAAGAAATGGAGTAGCCATCATGGTCAATAAAAGAGTCCAAAATGCAGTACTTGGATGCAAACTCAAAAACGACAGAATGATCTCTGTTCGTTTCCAAGGCAAACCATTCAATATCACAGTAATCCAAGCCTATGCCCCAACCAGTAACGCTGAAGAAGCTGAATGGTTCTATGAAGACCTACAAGACCTTGTAAAACTAACACCCAAAACAGCTGTCCTTTTCATTATAGAGGACTGGAATGCAAAAGTAGGAAGTCAAGAAACACCTGGAGTAACAGGCAAATTTGGCCTTGGAGTACGGAATGAAGCAGGGCAAAGGCTAACAGAGTTTTGCCAAGAGAACACACTGGTCATAGCAAATACCCTTTTCCAACAATACAAGAGAAGACTCTACACATGGACATCACCAGATGGTCAACACCGAAATCAGATTGATTATATTCTTTGCAGCCAAAGATGGAGAAGCTCTGTACAGTCAGCAAAAACAAGACCAGGAGCCAACTGTGGCTCAGATCATGAACTCCTTATTGCCAAATTCAGACTTAAACTGAAGAAAGTAGGGAAAACCACTAGACCATTCAGGTATGACCTAAATCAAATCCCTTATGACTATACAGTGGAAGTGAGAAACAGATTTACATCTGATAGACAGAGAGCCTGACGAACTATGGATATGGATGGAAGTTCGTGACATTGTATAGGAGACAGGGATCAAGACCATCCCCATGGAAAAGAAATGCAAAAAGGCAAAATGGTTGTCTGAGGAGGCCTTACAAATAGTTGTGAAAAGAAAAGAAGTGAAAAGCAAAGGAGAAAAGGAAAGATATTCCCATTTGAATGCAGAGTTCCAAAGAATAGCCAGGAGAGACAAGAAAGCCCCCCTCAGTGATCAATGTAAAGAAATAGAGGAAAACAACATAATGGGAAAGACTAGAGATCTCTTCAAGAAAATTAGACATATCAAGGGAATATTTCACACAAAGATGGGTTCGATAAAGGACAGAAATGGTATGGACCTAACAGAAGCAGAAGAGGTGGCAAGAATACACAGGAGAACTGTACAAAAAAGATCTTCATGACCCAGATAATCACAATGGAGTGATCACTCACCTAGAGCCAGACATCCTGGAATGTGAAGTCAAGTGGGCCTTAGGAAGCATCACTACGAACAAAGCTAGTGAATGTGATGGAATTCCAGTTGAGCTATTTCAAATCCTAAAAGATGATGCTGTGAAAGTGCTGCACTCAACATGCCAGTAAATTTTGAAAACTCAGCAGTGGCCACAGGATTGGAAAAGGTCTGTTTTCATTCCAATCCCTAAGAAAGACAATGCTAAAGAATGTTCAAACGACCGCACAATTGCACTCATCTCACACACTAGTAAAGTAATGCTCAAAATTCTCCAAGCCAGGCTTCAGCAATACGTGAACCATGAACTTCCAGATGGTCAAGTTGGTTTTAGAAAAGGCAGAGGAACCAGAGATCAAATTGCCAACATCCGTTGGATCATCAAAAAAGCAAGAGAGTTCTAGAAAAACATCTATTTTTGCTTTATTGACTACGCCAAAGCCTTCGACTGTGTGGATCACAATAAACTGTGGAAAATTCTGAAAGAGATGGGAACACCAGACCACCTGACCTGCCTCTTGAGAAACATGTATGCAGGTCAGGAAGCAACAGTTAGAACTGGACATGGTTCCAAATCGGGAAAGGAGTATGTCAAGGCTGTATATTGTCACCCTACTTATTTAACTTATATGCAGAGTACATCATGAGAAACGCTGGGCTGGAAGAAGCACAAGCTGGAATCAAGATTGCTGGGAGAAATATCAATAACCTCAGATATGCAGATGACACCACCCTTATGGCAGAAAGTGAAGGTGAACTAAAAAGCCTCTTGATGAAAGTGAAAGAGGAGAGTGAAAGTGTTAAGCTTAAAGCTTAACATTCAGAAAACTAAGATCATGGCATCTGGTCCCATCACTTCATGGGAAATAGATGGGGAGACAGTGGAAACAGTGTCAGACTTTATTTTTTTGGATTCCAAGATCAATGCAGATGGTGACTGCAGCCATGAAATTAAAAGACGCTTATTCCTTGGAAGGAAAGTTATGACCAACCTAGATAGCAAGTTAAAAAGCAGAGACATTACTTTGCCAACAAAGGTCCGTCTGGTCAAGGCTATGGTTTTTCTGGTGGTCATGTATGGATGATGTGAGAGTTGGAATGTGAGGAAAGCTGAGCACCAAAGAATTGATGCTTTTGAACTGTGGTGTTGGAGAAGATTCTTGAGAGTCCCTTGGACTGCAAGGAGATCCAACCAGTCCATCCTAAAGGAAATCGGTCCTGGGTGTTCATTGGAAGGACTGATGCTGAAGCTGAAACTCCAATACTTCGGCTACCTCATGCAAAGAGTTGACTCATTGGAAAAAGCCCTGATGCTGGGAGAGACTGGGGGCAGGAGGAGAAGGGGACAACAGAGGATGAGATGGTTGGATGGCATCACCAACTCGATGGACATGGGTCTGAGTAAACTCCGAGAGTTGGTGATAGACAGGGAGGCCTGGAGCGCTACGATTTATGGGATCGCAAAGAGTTGGACACGACTGAGAGACTGAACTGAACTGAACTGAGGGGTTTTTGTACTACACTTTGAGAACAGCTGAAGTAAGAAAATTTAAAACAGAAACAAATTAAAAACACTCAGAAAAATACAACAAATGCAAGGCATTTTAGAGTTTAACACTAGAAATAACAGGTACAAACAATATTCGGTAGAAATAATCTGTTAAGAACGAACATAATTCAAATCACAGCTCTAGATAAATACTTTTTACCTGTCTAGTAGAAACCTGAGGTATTCAGAACAGTCTTGTTGTGATCTGGGGGTAAACCATGGAGGTCTGGAAGCCTCAAAGAATATCCGAGGTGCATATGCTTCTCTCTGTTGATCGAGAAAACACAAGGAAGTGATTCTCACACCATGAACTAAGTAACTAAATCTTAATATATAATGTTTAATAAAGATTACTAAAATTACATAGGCTTAACCTTTACTACAAAGGACCAAACAAATACATTTAGGTAACTTTCAGTCATAACTTCTCATTCTGCAGATCAGAATTAACATCCAGAGAAAGTATGTGACTTGCCCAAGGTCATACAACTAAACTAGTAGCAGAGGGGATGTTTATCAGACCCCAAGTCTCTTTAACTTAATATAATGCTCCTGGCATTATCTCTCTTATGTACCTGAATCCACAATTTTTTTAAAAAATCTGAAAAAAAAAGTTAGTGGATATATATTTTGTATTAATAAGGGACACACTCTACAGAGCCATGCATACTGATTTGAGGTGGAAATTTCTTTGACTGGGTATACATGTCATAAATGTATGGAATATGAACACACTGGTTCGGGACTTTGCTGACTTTTATTTTTTTAGCATAGGGGAAGTTTAGTGAAGTGATTGCTTGTGGCCTTTACAGCAAGGTAGGCTAAAAAAAAGAACTGAGAAAGACATCTGCAAAGTTGTGATTGTAACTTAAAAATTTAGAATTTGAGTATTTGTGGTATATGACAGGGTTCTCAGTTAAGGAGAACATTTCTATCAAAATAGGTATGGTTATGGCATTTTGAAGAAAAGGAATTTGGTGGATTGTTTGCAGTAGGTTTCAGAAATCATTTGATTCATATTCTAGTCTTGCCACTGTTTGCATGGCCATGAAAGCAGGTAATGTAAGTCCTGTTTCTTCACCTGTAAAATGGGGATACTACCTTACCTCATAGATTGATTTTGAGGATTAAGAGATAATATATGTAAACCACCTAGCACAGGAGCTAGGTGAATTTAAATGCTCAATACATATTAGCTTTATTAATTATGAGAAGAAAAGCCTTTTAAATCACATAGGGAAAATCTACCTACCTAATCTACTTGTCTGCCTGCAATCAGACAGGGTCTCAACTATGGCAGAACTTTAATTAGGTTCTCGTGTTAATTCTTTTTTGGGAATATGGAAGACTCCTAAGGCTTTTTCCTAATAGCTCTGACTTAAGTTAATATATTATATATAATGTATCTATATCTACACATATACACATACACCTACCATATGCATACATGTTATACAGCTGACCATTGAACAACATGGGGTTAGGGTGCTGACCTTCTGCTTAGTCAAAAACCTGTGTATAACTTCACAATAGGCCCACTGTATCTGTGGTTCTGCACCTGTGGACTCTGACACGGATTGTGTAGTACTATAGTACAGATTTATTGGAAAAAATCCATGTGTAGCTGAACCTTTGCAGTTCAGACTGTGATGTTCAAGGGCAAACTCTATATAACATACAGTAAACACAGCATACAGTAAATACAGCAAGTACATACATCCATTTACTAGAAAACAATGTTTGGGAGTTGCAGGGAGGAGATTTCATCTCCTTTGGTCCTGAGGTGTTAAATTTGTAAACATATTTCCTCCAGGTAGAGAACAGTAAAATGATCCTCTGAGTATTTCAGGCCATCACTCATGTCAATCTTGATTCCTTTCATTTAAGAGGTTATACTTGAGATATTTCTCAGTTTGTAGATAGGAAACAAAGCATTCCTAACAACTCAATTCCATCAATTCTAAATCTATCTTCTCTTCTGGCTGTAACTACCTATTCCTTTAGACCTCTGTTAAATGAAAACAATAAAACCAGAAAATATTATTTATAAATGATTTGTATTATTCATAGGTATTACTCAAAACTTAAAAGTACAAGTTCCTTGAGCATAAGGATTCATTTCTGAATGCTTATCAGACTTTATATCTCTCAATAAATGGCTATTTACCTGCCGTTCTGGCTATTAGCATAAACTTATTTCCTTGGATTAATTTGTGGACATAAAAGATCACAAAATTTTAAGCTCCATAACTTTTAACAGGTAAACAGTTTATCCATTAAGTTCTAGAGCTTAAAAGTTTAGTCATAATGAAAGGGTATATACATTAGAAATGGGAGGGGAAAAAAGACAAGATGCCACAAAATTATTTTAATTGTTCATTACTATGAAAATCTACCAAATTAATATTTATAAACTTAAAGATGCATTTAAAAATTTTATTTCACAAAGGAGCTATTTTTTGGATAGGAAATCAGATTTTACCTATAATAATTAGAATAATGGGTCAGTAAAATATTCATCTACAAGAATGGAAAGTAGAAGGGAGAAGTAAGAACTTAGGGCATATCCTGATTTTAGGCAGGATCTCTTTAGATTTCTATGTGGATCTGTTGTGGTGGGAGAGAGATATATTATTTCTTCAGTTAGAAAGGTTCATCAAAATTGGTACAATGTGAAGTTTAAAGAAGATTATCAATGCAGTTAACATATACATACTACACACACTTACACTCACCTGCGTATGAGCCAAAAAGGCAAAAAGATGCTGTAATTTTTTCATTAATGAATTGCACCCATTTAGATTTAAAGATAATACTTGTCTCCTGAAACTGAAACATAGAAAATATCAATTTTTTGTCTACATGTGTACACATGACGCACTTTTTAAAAGCTAAAGGGAAGTTAGTCCAAGTTATTATCCTTAAAGTAAAATTCCCCTCCCTGAAGGCCCTTCACCTGGCCAAGTCCCTGCCTACGATGCAGTGAAGAAGGAAGAAAATGGGCCCGAACAGCTACCACACAGCCTGGCAGCGACCAGGTGCTGGTGCACATTATTCCTATCTTTTGGATTAGCAAATAGAAACAGATGAAGCTATTAACTAGTAACTTGAGTAAACAACTTTTAATTCTTTCAACTCTGCATGAAATATAAAAAAAAAGTCCTGTCACCAAAACTATGATAAAGTTAGAGTTTTAAAGAATGTGGTATTAGTGCTGAATGGGAAAAGAAGAAACTTCAAAAAACAGTATAGAACAATTGGGTATCCTTTTGGAAAAAAATGGAATTAGATAAGATTTCATATCATTACAGATGCCACAGAGAAGTAATGAGCTAAATGTAAAATATGAAAATACTGAAGTATTTAACAGAAGAAAAGGGGGTAAAGGGAGTTTAGACGGGAAGGTGTCCTACAATTCAGAAGCTATAAATGATAAATAGCAGATCTGACTACATAAAATAAAAAACTGCAAACAAAACACTCGATAAATGTATCATACTGATGGGAAGAAAGCACGTATACACCAGTATAAATCAGTAGGAAAAAGAAAAGGACCCAACAGAAAGGTACACAATGGAAAGAATAGGTTATTCAGAAAAGAAACACAAATGAACAAAGATACTAGAGAGGGCAAAAAACTCTGTAAAGGTCAGCCAATATGCACAAAGACATTTTCGTCCAAATTGGAAAGATTTTTTAATACTGATTTTATCAAGTACTGCTAAAGGTGTGGGTTCATAGGTACAATCATGTATTAGTATGCAAGTTCAACTTTCTGGAGACCAATGTGGCACACCCTATTCAAAGAATAGCCTCTATATCGGCATATGGGCAGATGTTAATTATAAGCAAAACAACCTAATATTCATTAGGAAGATGATTAAAATAACTATGGCACATAGTTACTCATATATACTCAGAATGACATAGCTCTGTCATTACACTAACATGGGACTATTTCCAATATAAATCAACAAAAGAAAAAAAATAAGTGGCTGGAAAAGAATACATAAACAAGATTCTTTGTCAACATATTTTTAAAAACCAACGCATTTGTTTTATACTAGATAAATCTTATCACTGTACAAAAAATAGGTCTGGAACAATGCAAGCAAAACTATTAACAGATACCTATGGGAATGTCTGATTTTTATTTTATGTACTCCTAGATTTATTTTTTTAAGAATTTACATATTACCAAAGAAATAAAATATGCTGTCTGCCTATTCTGAGATAGTATTGGCTGCTATTAAATAAGATGTGCTCTTTGAATTGTAGCTGTCAGTTATAACTGCTTTGAGTTTTTGCTTTCTCTATCGTTTGTAAAGTGAGATGGTTGGATTAGATGACCTCTGGTGGAAAGACATGGATTATTTTCGTTTTATGCTTAGTATCATTTGTGTCTATGAGTAAATATTTTCTTAGAACACAAGAAAAAAAATTCCTAAAAACAAACAAACCACTAGACCAAATGAAAACACCTTAGTTTCGATTGTATATATTGAGGCCAGGAAAGAAAATAAAGCTAAACTCTTCAGCTTTTAGTTTATGAGTCCTCTGTGATCAGTCGCTCAGTCGTGTCTGACTCTTTGCGACCCCATGGACCGCAGCCCTCCAGGTTCCTCTGTCTATGGAATTCTCCACGCAAGAATACTGGAGTGGGCTGCCAAGCCCTCCTTCAGGTATGATACCTGGAAGGCAGATAAGAGGCATATAGGAAGGCATAAAAACTGACAAAGGCCTAGAATTCAATTTGTAAACATCTCTGGTCAAGTTCCATGAATATCCTATTGGTATAGAAGAGAAAAATTCAACCAGGTTTTTGCCTTCAGGAAAAGTTCATCACTATTTTGTACCTTTACAGATTGCATTCACATAGCTAACAGCCACTGATTTCCTATTTGCTTGGCTGCAAGAGAATATGTATTTGAAAGTAAATCTGTAAGACAGCAAAGGAACATGTCTGTTATACATCTGGTTCAGTATCTATCAACTTGGGATGGGAAGCAGAGCTTGAATTTCTTAAAAGGCAGTGAAGAAGTTATTGATCTGATAAACAGCAAAATACCTACAAGTCAAGTCAGAGTAACTGAAAGACTCTAAATGAAATAAATAATATAAACATGAAGTATAATTTATATAAATTAGCATTTTAATAGCTCCAGGCACTAAAAGCAATTTTGTTTCTGAATAAGGCAATTATATGAAAATATTAATGTTTCTACCATATATAAGAAATAATTTGAAGACAATCTCACCATCTTACATTTCATCAGCATACATCAATTTCTACAGTTAAAATGAAAAATTTTTTTAAAGTTCAAATTAAAACTTACTCTGTGGCCATAAACAATGCTTGTATAACACTGTTCATATAACATGTATTCCCTAGATTAATAAGACCAGTTTTCCCAGTTTCAGATTTTCCAGAAAGTCTAGACAAGCAAGATGCCAAAGAATTGGATTGAGAAGTCCAGGCACTTTGATTGAGAATCAATTTAATCTTCTCTTCACTGGGCTTAGGAAAATCCTGTAGATCATAAAGAGGAAAAAGTAGTATAAAGTATAAACTATTTTTTGTTATTAGACCATAAAGAAGATTCTTCCACTGACATTTAATCTTTCTTTTCTCCCATTTAGTTTTGACATCACTGATAGTACTTGACCAGTCGTCAAAAAAAATCACAGTACATGGCAAAAATAATGGTCTCCAAAAAGAATATATTAACCCTTAGAAATGAAATCTCAAAGTAGTCAGAGAATGAAAAATGAAAGTATCTAAGCACAATGACCTTTGACTTTAAAAAACAAAACTCCATCTCGTGTTTAACCATAGAGAAAATGATTAGAAGATATAGCTTCTTCCCCGCTTTGTGACGTATGAAATAAAATGTTCAGTGGTTTTCAAGCATGAGTGGAGTACTGGAAACTAAGGGAAGCTGGTAAAATCTTGAAGGCTTTTTTGGACTGCTGTTACCACCTAAAGTAGTTAAACCTCAGAAAATACTTTCTGAAGCAAATTTAATCTTTTGATTTTATTGTTGTTGTTGACATCTCATGGAAAATGCTTCCCTTAGTTTAACAGGGAGATCCCTGCAAACTGAGCCTACTTCAGTTATCAGAATTTTCAGCTTTTAGTGGTGAAGAATGACATTTAACAACAGCAATAGCTCTCATCTATGGACACAGCAACATTGCAGAGAGAGGTTAATATTGCTATCAAATCCATGACAAAACCCTTTTATAAGTAAAGACATTTACTTCTGAAGTGTCCAAGGGTCATGCCAGTAGTATCCCTTCTTTGCTGAACAGTTTTGTGTTTTGGCCTCATCCAAACTCATTCTAACTAGAAACTCTACAGTAGAAATAATATGCTTTGTATTCATTTCACATAGAGAAGTAAAGATAATGAGACCTTATACTTTATTTCAGACCTCAAAAAGGAACAATATCAAAAGAACTGATTTCTAACAACTTCTGAACACATCTAGCTGAAGGAAGTTCTCCAATTATTTTGCTGTTCCCTGATTAAGCAATACATTTACTAAGAGGAAAGTGTGCTTTCTGTGATCCATTTTTCAAGACAAACAGAATCAATGCTTTTTAGATCCAGTATCCACACAAAGTTGAAAAACAGTAAGTTCACAAATAATTCAAGTAAAGATTCTAAGATATATGGACATTCATGAACAATCCACAGCAAAAATGAAATAAAAATCAGCGAAGAAACTGAGTTCAAATACTGTAATTACAATGCCTTCCCTTGAACCTAAAATGTATCTTACATATTTTGACATTTCTGATATTGGGAAGAGACTTACATACATATCAACTTAATGTATCATTTTTTAAAGCAAATTTCCTCCAAAGCTGTTATGAATTTAAAGATATGCCTTATCATTGTTGGCACTGTAGAACTGAAGAAATATGGTTATTAATTTGGAGAGTTATAGCACATAAGAAAGACATAACTCTCTAAGAATTATTGAACCACAGTTCCAATTGCATTTTTCAAACAAAAAGCATATTTCCATAAGAGAGTAAATTGAATAGCTGGTTATAGAAATGTTTCAGCGCATTCATCTATCACATCAAAGGCTGCAGCTCCACAAAGACTGCTGCAACTATCATCATACCTTTATTGCCTCCAGGATGGGTTCGTAGAGATCTGGAAATCCAGAGTAATGATACATCATACAGTGAATCAGTTCTGTTAACTGCACTAGGAAGGCTGTACTGGAAGGCAGACCATCACTTTTGAAGGAGTGAACCAAATTAACTACATGAGGAACAATCTGAACAGAAAAAAAGACAAACATTCTTTCAAACATTCTTTAATTTACACGAACTGGCAACAAATTCCCTACCCTACAAATGGAATACGGTTTCCCTAGTCGCTCAGACTGTAAAGAATCAGCCTGCAACGCAGGAAACCCAGGTTTGATCCCTGGGTTGGGAAAGACTGCCTGGAGAAGGAAATGGCAACCCACGCCAGTACAAATGGAGTGCAAATGTTACACAATTAGCAATGCTCTTCTGTTATGTTCAGTCACTGCCTTTTTCTAAAAACGTTATGAAGTTAAACATTTCTCGAATACCAAGGTAAATCTAGTTTTTGAAGCAAATATAATTGTAATTCCATATAAAACCCCTCTCCTCATGCTTATACTCCATTTAAAACTAAGGTACAAAAAATTAAGGTAATAAATAGGAGCCTAAGTCACTGCTGCCATTCTAAAAATGGCTTAAACTGGAAAATGTTGGGGCTATTATATTTACCACATTGTTTAATGGGGACAAATGGTTAAAAGATAAACCAAGCAATAACTTAAGAGCGCCATCTAGTGTGAATTTTAGATTTTTCACTTGAAAGAATTAGACATGTTTGCACAATAAAGACTGCTTCAAGAAAATCTTTATAACTTACCCATACAACTAAAATTACAGCTGAGGCTACCGCACCACCTCTATTTTAGACAAGGGACTACCTTTATTTTAGGGATGGTGTCTTATGTAAGCATGGTTATCCTTACTAATGATCCCCATGCCCCACCTCCAAAAAAGAAGAGATGATTCTAAAAATAAAGAGAATGAGGAAAGTCCATTATTTTTAAGGAAATGGGATTAAAAATTAAAAGTGAAATCTAAAATGCTCATTGCTCATAATTATGTAGAAAACTATTAACACTGATAATAAGCACAACAATATCCTTTCATTATAAAAGTAGAGTAAAAAGTCAATACAGAGCCAATCACATATTTAAGAGGTTATTAACAAAATAAATGCTATTTTGCAGCAATGGCTCATTAGTATAATTTGATACTATATATTTAGAGTCCACATGTAAAAAGCATCTTATTATTTTCTCTTTGTAGAACTTTTGTGTATGTATGTGTGTGTGTATATGCAGCAACATGGGAAAATATTATGTAACGTTAAATTTCAAAAGAAGGATACAAAAATTACATATTGATTGTAAATATAAATACAACCTTGTTAAAATATTTAGGGGAAAAAACATTGTAATGGAAAACATAAAAATTAGTGTAGTGAGATTGTGGGTAATTTCATGATATATTGCCCTAACTTCCTATATTGTTATATTATCTTTCTATATAAGTTTAATTTTGTTGTAAATGAATTACACACTTACTATAAAGAAAATCTAACGATACAAACATGTATGAAGTAAAAGTCTCTGTCCCACTGTCCTGTGAAAGACACTGGTTGTATACCTAACTTCATATAGCATGTCACGGCACATGCCATATATGTGATTTTTTGTACAAATGGGATCAAACCTATATACTGCCTAGAGCTTTTCTTGTTCCAACTGACAATCACCTCTTGCCTCAAATCCATGCAAAGCCTCCCTCCCAAATGCTCTCCTTGCTTTCACCTTTTGCCCTCCTTCAGACGATTCTTAAAGTCCAAATGAACCAAATAAAACGCAGTGGAGAATATTATTTGGTATAGGCAGTGTAGAACATCTATTTGGTTCATGGCTAACTCATGACAAAAGTGAAGTTACAGCCAGCTCTACGGTCTTATCATCAAACAGCAGTAACTACAATTATATTCCAATCAGCCCCCTTCCTTCTTGTAGAAAGAAATTCATATTCTTAAAATAACAGTGCTATTCTTCGTTCTCCTCTCTCTGGTTTTACTCTTATGCTTTGAGGTCTTAAATCATAGTTTTGCTTTCATACCACTTTCTTTAATCTTACCTCCACTGAAGGCATTAATCTGACCATAAAACTACCAGCTCCTAATGGTTCACACCACTGCTATCATTGCTACATTTCAAAGCAAATCTGAATTATAATTTTGCTCCATAGAGTCATATCTATCAGATACTTGCTAAAATAGTCAGAAATCCAAAATTATGGTTTCCTCAGAGGTGACAGGGGAGACAAAGATGGAAGAGAAGAAAGAATTTTTAAAATGATTATTTAATTTATAATACTAAATCGTCCAAAAGCCTTCCTAGGGTAGATTGGATCTCTGTGGACAGATAATATACCTAGTTATCTACTATTACATCTTATGTAGTAAAAAATGATCACTGACTCAGAAATAAGACTTCTTCACAAGTGTATAAGACAAGACATCCAAGCAGTTTATTATCTTCTAAATATCTGAAAACTGATTTTTTTTTTCTGAATGAGCAAATCTGAATATTTGCAGACATTACTGTGCTATTCATTAAACTTAAGTTACTATTTGAGAAAATGTGTATAACATTTAATTAGAAGGTTTGATATCTTCTCTTCCATTTAAAATTTTTTCCTCACTTACATCAATCTTGGTTTGCTTTAAAATATTCTAAATGTATAATATACTGGTGATTTCACGTTACTGTTCATACTTAGCAAGTCCTAAACCTGAGTCCTTTGCTGAGTTATTTAGAGTTATAGGTGATTTAACTACTGCATGACCCACTACTAGATGCCCAAGTTAATTTTAGTTGAGGCTATACACTGTATGTAGACAGAATAATTCTTTGTTTTTAGACTTTATAAAGCCAGATCACAGTTTCCTATTTTAGCTCTAACTGTTCTTTAAATAAATGATTTCATAATTACTTATTTCAGTAGTCAAATATTTCAAAGTCAACCATTTGCCATTTCAATTACTTTTTTGGGGGGGGGAAGACAACAAAAGCTAAGGAGATCCCTTCCATCTTTTAAAAAATTGAGCAAGGAAATAGGTTTAGAGTATAGCAAAAGTGACTTATCTGAGAGAACAAGGAATGTGTGGAGAGTAATAAACATTAGAATGGATTTCCTCCCCAGAAAATAAATAAATACAAACCTTTTCTCAAACAGCTGATACATGACTGTGCCTGAAGGGAGGGACAAATAGTTGTTTTTTTCCCTTGGACGATTTTGCTAGTAATCCTGCTACATTAGCTCAAGTTTGAGTTTTGCGTAATGGATAACAAGTTTATTAATTGATGATCAAGCTCACCAATTAGAACAATAAACTACAGAAATCACTCTTCCTAAGTGATAATGTATTATAAGTAATTACTTGTTAGTAAAGTTTACTTCTGATAAGCCTGCAGATTTTCCTTCAGTGGAAAGAGGCACTGAGTAGCTGATGTGATACATAATTCTCTGAGGCTAGTTAAATTTCCAGCCAACAATCAACAGATGAAATTCTGCATTTCCTCAGCCTCTTTTGAATATGTTTGTGGTGGGTCAGACTTCCTAAAATTTTAAATTGTGGGTGTGTTGACTGAGTTTTTAGTCCTGTAAAACTGAGGATCAGACCTTGGAGGAAGTGAGTAACCACATAAAGCACTGCTTTCCTGTGATACTCTAGACAGAAAAATGGACAGGTTCTCAAAATTACATTTTGTTATATCTCACTTGCAATAACTGATAATCAAATAAACAATATGAAATCAAACCAAAACCAGTGATGCAGCTGGTTAAAAGTGGTAGGATTCTGGATCTATTTTAAAAGAGGAATCAACAGAATTTATAGGATATGAGCTGAGAGAGAACGCAAAGCCCTAATTCTAGGGCAACAGAGACTGCTGTTTTCATGGTTCTGAAGTTCAGAGCAGGCCGTGGTTTTAATCCACGTTTCTGCTCCTGCGCTGCTCGTGTGTGCAACAGACAATGGACAGTGACACTGACACATGGCATTTCTCAAGTACGAGAGTAACTTTCAACTTTCAGTTGCTCGCTGTGACCCCAAGTGGAAGTTTTGGTAAGACCCAAAACATTCTAAAATATATTCTTGGAGAGGAAATCTCACAATACCAATTTTAAAAGGACCCATAAAGCTACAGGAAAATAGATTTAGGACCAATCTATAATCTTTTCACAAATACAAATGTGACTCGACACTAAGTTGAACTTTTAAAACAAGGTTTTTCACAGTAGGAAACTTGGGTCATAACTCACCAAATGGAATGCCTCTGGAGAGTGCTGGAAACTAAGCAGCATGTGAGACAGGACTGCAAGAGCGCCAGGCCGCACGAGAGGAAACCAAAGGCGATTAAAAACCTGCAGACAAGACAAGACATACGCTTCAAGGCTTGGCACGGAAATCATCATCCCCATCAGTGGTTACTTTCATAGGGCTCCAAATTATTTACGTGCATATCTCCTGGGAAGTTTTATCAAGACATGTGTAATTAAACTCTGGGAGAGGGAGAAAGTTAGGAAATAACATGACAGAGATCAAGGGAGTATAATGACCTCACCAACTCTTAAAACTACATCATCAAATAAAAATCTGTCAAACAATGTTTACAAGGTGACAGCTCCCTGGCCCATTATTCATTCAGCAAATACTTATTGACCATCTACTACTGCTTGACACTATTGTATATACTGGGAAAACAATAGTGGATTCAAAGGAAACCTCTGACCTTACAGGGCTTACTGTCTAGAGGGTTGAGTAGAGACAATTAAAAGTAATGAGAGAAAAATGCTATGAAAGCAAGGCATGTTGAATAGGGAATGCTGAGTGGCAAAAGGCTCGGCTGTTTTATTATAGTGAATTAATAAAAGGCCCATGATAAACGTGACCCCTGACTACAAAAAACTGAAAGGAATGAGATAAGTCTGACAGATAACTGGAAGAAAGGCCTTTGCTCTGATTATTATACTCAGCACTGCAAAAGCCCTGAGGCCTCCAGCCTGGTGGACAGAGATATAACGAGGAGGGCAGTGTGTGGAAATAAAGCTCGGAGACTGAGGCAGTTACAGTGGAAGACAGGCGAGAGGAGCAGCAGTGGCTCGGATCAGGTAGGACCTCGTGTGATGGCCGAAGGGGATCAAGGGCAGGATCCGCAGGGCTACTGCAATCAATATAGCAAGGGGTGGTGCTTCCGAGGCAGGAGACCCAGGTTTGATCCCTGGGTTGGGAAGATCCTCTGGAGGAGGCCATGACAACCTACTCCAGTAGTCCTGCCTGAAGAATTCCCATGGACGGAGGAGCCTGGTGGGCTACAGTCCATAGGGTTGCATAGCGTCGGACACAACTGAAGTGACTTAGCACAACTGGTGATGAATCTGGACCAGGGTGGTAGTGATGTAGCTGATTGACAGTGGTAGAATGCAGGTTATATTTTAAAGGTGGAGTCAGTAGGATTTGTAAGATATGGGCTGAGAAAGCATGAAGAGAGAAAAGAATACCTTCAAGGTTGAGCCTGAGCACATGAAAGGCTAAGACAGTCATTTAAGATGGGGAAGACCAGGGTTGGGAGGGAAAAATCAGGGATTAAGTTGTGGATAAGCTGAACCTGAGATCCAAGGATATAGAGAGCTGGATACATGAATATGGAGTTTACAGGAGAATAATGGACTAGAAATGTAAACCTATCAGTCACAAACTTAGAGATGTTGTTTAAAGCCATGGTGGCTGTGTGAACTGAGAAGAAAGGAAGCCAGAGATGAAACTCTAAGGCACTCTAAAGTTAGAAAGACCCACTACAGGACTGAGAAGTGCACTAGAATAAAATCCAGGGGAGTATGACATCCTGGAAACCAAGGGAGGAAAGTGTTTCAAGAGGGAGTGATCAACTGTGTCAAATGACTAACAGGTCAAAAGAGAGGAGGCTTGAAAAAAACTCTTGAGTTAAGCAACACTGGAGAGCATAGGTGTCAAAGATCATTTTGGCAGAATAATGGTGGTAAAAGCTGGATTAGTTGGGATTCAAGAGATAATGGGAAGAATATGTTTTCATAATAAATATTTGAAAACAGCAAATTATAATGACCTAATCTTAAGTAGCATTTTAAATTTCTAAAGCCTATTCAGAATTTTTATTCAAAAGAAAACCCAAAACAAGACCATATTCAAAACTAGATGCTTTAAAGGGGACAACGCGAAGATAAAAAGACTTATTATATGGACTTATCTGGGTCTTGCTTCCCAGGTAGCACTGGTGGTAAAGAACCCGCCAATGTAGGATATGTAAGAGAGAGATGCGGGTCCGATCCCTAGGTCAGGAAGATCCCCTGGAGGAGGAAATGGCAACCCACTTCAGTATTCTTGCCTGGGAAATCCCATGGACAGAAGAGCCTGGGGGGCTACAGTCCATGGGGTTGCAAAGAGTCAGGCATGACTGAAATGACTTAGCACACATATATTATATGTCTATGCATTTCAAAAGATTAATATACTCCCACTTACCAATTCTATTTTCAGTAGAGTAACATCTATCAAAATAGTAAACTTCTGGACAGCTGCCAGTCCTTTTAAGAGTGCAATCACCCATGTGTCTACATGCTGAGCCAATGGCCAGGACAGCCAGTCAATCATTCTGAAAATTAAAGGATAACAAAACTATTAGCATTGACAATAGCTTTGACATTATTCAGTTAGGAATAACAAGAGTAACTACAGTGGGCAGTTACAGTCACTCACTTTGTGACTCAATATTTACTGAGCTTGCATGTGAAAAGTACTATTGAAGATGTAGAAAGGAGTATAATGGTTGCTTGTACTCGGGGATTCCCAATCTTGTCAACTGACAGTCTTATATAACACATTTGTATAAAAATAATTTCCTATAATCATTCTGCATAAATGCAAAGTTTTGAATTTATTCTTCAGTAGTGTCAATTTATATAGGCAAATTTACTCTAAGAAGAACAGTTCAAATATGGCTATCTGAACTAAGACATGCATATGAACCAAAATTTCTCCTTTCTGGTGATTACAATCTAAATAAATATAAAATGTACTGTTAAAAAAGACTATATTTTGAATTGTGAAACAGGTCTCTTCATCTCTCTCAAAATTCTTTAGATAACAAAAAGAAATTTCAGATAGGTAAAAGGGCCAAGTATACAAATACTGAAATGGCCTCGTTTTGTAACAGTGAGCGCTTTTCTCTTGGAGTAGGGCTTCCTTGGTGGCTCAGTCGGTAAAGAATGCACCTGCAATGCAAGAGACGTGGGTTTGACCTCTGGGTTGCAAAGATCCCCTGGGGGAGGAAATGGCAACCCACTTCAGCCAGTATTCTTGCCTGGGAAATGCCATGGACAGAGCAGCCTGGCAGGGTACCAAGAGTTGGACACGACTTAGTGACTAAACCACTACCACCACCTTTTTGAGTAGCAACCCAATTTAATGAAAATAAAGTAATATGCTGGATGGAAACTATCCCTTATGATAGACATCAACCACAATGAAGAAGATGCTACAATGCTTTTGGAAGGCAACTGGGCGAAATGTTCATGTTATTTGATTTTGGTCCAGTAATCCAGTTTGGGTGAATATATAATAAAACAAAAATAGTAAAACAAACCAGGTTTTTAAGTCAGAGTGATTTGGTTTAAAAACCTCAGTTCACCATTTATTAGCTGGGGGTCCCTAAATACTTTTATCAGTTACTTCTTTGTGTTTCAGTTCCTCATCTGTAGGTTATGAATGAATTTTACAGGACTGATGTGAAGGTTAAATGAATTAATACACTGAAAATATGAATGTCTCCCTTCTAAATGTTAAGATGTGGAAATAAATACATACTTTGATTGTACAAAATGTAAAATATAAATACTAAGTACATAAACACATGACCAAAAGAGCAACTAACATGTTAAAAGGACTGACTTTCTTATTGACATAAACTATCTACATTAACACTGGAGTGTTATCTTTATTAAGATTTTTGCTCTTAACGATTAACCTGTTCTATCAGACATGGAGTGGCTTCAAAGTTCATACTCATTTTACTACAGGTTAACTGTATGTTTCCTCTATACTCTACACACATTATTTCTTTTTCCCTTTCTTGTTTTTCTGACCAACAATGATGGTTTTAAGTCATTACAGTTGTCCCTGAGAGCTGTTCCTCATCTCTCAACTGTTGTTAATCTGGTTTTCACAAGTCTGTGGCCACTCTACATACCAGGAGTAGAAAGTAGAGACATTTGAATTTGTGTGTGAAGAGTATATTCACTGCAGTACTGCTTACAATACAGAAAAAACGCAAAATTATCTAAGTGTCCATCATAAGGAAACGACTTATATATACTATGGAACATTAGGTAAAGTTTTAAAATATGAGATAGGTTGATATGAATCTATCCACAGGGATCTAACACAAAAATATCTGAGCTATTATTGAATTAAAAAAGAAAAAAAAAATGCTGGTAAATCTTTTTTAAAACTTATTTGTTTGTCTAAAAGAAAACATATGAGTACAAGTTTTATGTATATATATATTTACCATAAGTATGTACACAAAAGAACTGTGGGTTAGAGAAGGGGAACAAGCGAGCACCTCTCTTTGGCTCTGCAGACTCTTCCCTGTGGGGAGCACAGGCCCAGAGTGGAACCAGACTGGGCTCCCCAGCACGTGGGGCCCAAGTTTCCCTTTAGCTCAGGTCTAAGGGGAGAAAAAGTAAAGCCAAGGGGGCAGAGTAGGAAATTCCACTTGGCCCTGGCTTTTCACCATCCCTAATCACCCAATCAGCCTTTTCTCCATCCTCTCCACTTCGAGCCTCCCCTCTCAGAAGCCTCTATCTAGTCTTTACCTTATCCCACGTGTACCCCATCTCCTAACCACCCTAAAGATACTTCAAGTCAGAAGTAACACAAATTAGAAGCCACTCATTCAAAAAATATTTGAGTGTCTATTATATGATAGATACTTAGCATTAAATGCTAAGAATATAACTCTAAATTATGGTGTATGCCTTCAAACTGATAGGGGAAGTTAGGAAATATTCAACAGGCCACACAGTAAGTAGCAATGTTGGTATCTGAAGCAATAATCTCATTGCTTGGCAGGTAATGAGACACTTTTGGCTACATTTTAATTACACTCTAGTCTTGCTTCAATTTGATTGGGTTTACATAGGCTCAAATCCACTCACACATAGTCACTCTAGAATCAGTTATTTTTATGGTTAACTACTGTAATTTTATCCACTGTGTATTGGTTACAATTTGAATTTTAAGGATACTTAACCCTGATAGGCTGATTTAATTTCCTACTATTTAAAGAACATTTAGTAGTTGCAATAAATCTTGTTTCCTCCATTAGACTGTGGGATTAAGAACAGTGTTCTCACTGTTCTGTTTTTTAATCTCTAATCTTTGATCTGCATTGAAATGGAGCTCAAATCTATTGACTAAATGAAACCATTTCCCTCTAGAGCTAAAATAAAGAACATGTAACTTAAAAAAATTAAAACTGGCAGGGCTTCCCTACTGGCTAAGATGGTAAAGAATCTGCCTGCAATGCAGGAGACCCAGGTTTGATCCCTGGTTCCAGAAGATCTCCTGGAGAAGGAAATAGCAGCCCACTCCAGTATTCTCACCTGGAGAATTCCATGGACAGAGGAGCCTGGTGGGCTATAGTCAGTGGGGTCGCAAAGGCTTGGATACAACTCATTGACTAATGTAATATTCTTAATTTGTAGAGAATAAAGGGAATTTTCACTTTTATATGGCAGCTTAAGGGCTAGATCCAGCTTTCAGCCTTATTCTTTCCAATGTTTTAAAAATTGGAAAACTTCACATAAAAAATGGACATCAGGCTTCTTTTGAAAAATCAGATTAGCAATACTGAACTCAAATTTTCCTATGACACAGACTTAGAGAACAGAACTTATGATTGCCAGGGGAGAAGGATCAGTGGAGGAGACAGGGAGTTTGGAACTGCCATGTACACACTGTTACATTTTAAATGGATGACCACCAAGGTCCTACTGTACAGCACAGGGCACTCTGCTGCTCAATGCTGCATGGCAGCCTGGACTGGAGGGGAGTTTGGGGGAGAATGGATACATGTGTATGTATGGCTGAGTCCCTTTGCCATACGCCTGAAAATACCACAACATTGTTAATCGGCTATACTCCAATATAGATTAAAAAGTTTAAAAGCAAAAAAAAAAAAAAAATTCTCCTGTGATAATAAGACAACAGAAGTTGAGGATCAGCTCTCTCTTTTGGCAAGTGCTCATGAACCCCATTTCCTATTATTTCAGTTGTTTAGCTGCGAGGTTGTGTCCAGCTCTTTGTGACCCCATGGACTGTGGCCAGCCAGCATCCTCTGTGCATGGCGTCTCCCAGCCAAGAATACTGGAGTGGGCTGCCTTCTCCCCGGGATCGTCCCAGCTCGGGGATGGAACCAGCATCTTCTGCGTCGGCGGGTGGATTCTTTCCCACTGAGCCACCAGGTCGGTTACACCTGACCTATTTCATCCTTTAGTGTTACGCACCTAGTTCTGGCACAGTACCTGCATTTGCATTTCTCTGGGTTACAGAAAATGACAGTGAAGCATGACAAGTGCTATGTGTGAAATATATACAGTATGAGGGAGTAGAGGGTATGATAAAAGGAAATGTTACTATCCTCACTTACATTTGTGTTACAAGAATAATTACTCCAGGTACATTGTAAGTTAAATAGGATCATGTAGGAGATAAATTGGAAATGCAATACAAAAAATGGATCACAATTTCCATAGAAACAGGTAGGTAAAAATTAAATTCCAAATATATCTTAAAATTAAAATAAATTCTTAAGTTGGAAACTATGGTTGTTTTGAAGAGGCTGAAAAATTAAGACTAAGGGTGCCATCAGAGAACCCCATGAACAGTATGAAAAGGGTGCCATACCCAACATTATAAATCAACTATAAGCAAAAAAAAGAACCGGACAGTGAGATGTGTATGCATGAAAATTTCTGAGAACCCAACATAAAATATCGATACTGAAGTTTACATGTTACCTCATGACTGTAATTTATAATTACAGTTAAATTATAATCTGTAATGCAGAAAACATTTTGTTCCAAATCCTTACATTTTCTTTAAATGTGCTATTAATACACACATACAGGAGAAAAAAATAGAAAAAAAATAGAAAACAAAACCAGACAGATATGAAACAAGAATAGGAAGACAGGGAAAGCTCAGTTAGAAGTATACAGTCACTGAAATAAAGAAATTCAATAACTAATAATACCTTACCTTTGAAAGAAAAATTAGTAAATTATAAGATAGTATTGATGTCCTTCCCCTTAGATCTCCAAAAGGTCTGCACTCTCATTTCCTTCATATCTTTACTTCAAGGTCACCTTTTCAGTGAGGCCCTCCTTGTCTATCTTATTTAAAATTGCAAACCATTCCCCATGCTTTATTGGCTTTCCTATCTACTTTTTTTCCCAAAACATTCATCACTATCCAACATACTAAATTATTTTACTTATCATATTTAATCAAATATAAAAACAGAATCAATTTTAGGATGTATAATTAGGTTATATACCACCGCAGCAACAAAAGTTCTGCAATTTAAACTAGAACACCAATGACTATACCTTGCAACATCTCTGAAATCAGGATGTATCTAAATGTGATTTGAACAGGTGAATGACCAGATGGCTAAATTAATGGGAGCACAAGAGTATTGAGAAGTAGAAGTAACATTAAGTTTACCCCTAGACAGATAAGACGAAAACTGGAAAACATCAAGGATAAAGAGCAAGCGTAAGCATATCAGGAGAGCCTAACTGCCCAACAAAGCAAAGATAATCACACCAACCGCAGGCTCCACATCAGCAACAACAGATGCCAGAAGACAGGGCAGTGTTATTTTCAAAATGCTAAGACAAAATGATTATCAAATTAGAATTCTGTGTCTTGCCAAACCATATACTTGAGAATGTGCAAGAAAGAAACACACTTTGAACAAACTAAGAAAGTATTACCCAGAGGTCCTGGTTGAAAGAGAAAGTAAAAGTATGTACTAAGTAAAAGCACATGCTTAGTCAGGAAGAAAAAAGATCCCAGAGGGAGGAGATAGGTTTCAGGAAATGATACCGAGCAAAGAAATTCGTAAAATATATCGATAATCCAACCAATTCCTGACTGTACGATAAGTGTATATGTGTGTTATATTTTTGTAATTCAAAAATGTTGAACTGAAATTCATATTTGTGAATTACTGAAATGCCTGCAAGCCTATCGGAGAAGGCAATGGCACCCCACTCCAGTACTCTTGCCTGGAAAATCCCATGGACAGAGGAGCCTAGTAGGCTACAGTCCATGGGGTCGCCAAGAGTCGGACACAACTGAGCGACTTCACTTTCACTTTTCACTTTCCCCGCATTGGAGAAGGAAATGGCAACCCACTCCAGTGTTCTTGCCTGGAGACTCCCAGGGACAGAGGAGCCTGTGGGCTGCCGCCTATGGGGTCGCACAGAGTCGGACACGACTGAAGAGACTTAGCAGCAGCAGCTGCAAGCCTACGGTAAGGTAAATGAGTCATTTCAATTAATTAGGAGAATCTTTATATATTTGATTCCATGATTTCAGTTCTGCACATTTCCCTAAGTTTTTCACTACTCACAAAATACAGCAAAATAATCTTCTCCTCTCAAATCTACAATTCCCATCTATGGTGTTATGAAGAAGTACCTGCAAAGAGCGTGGGTCATGCTCGCGTCTTTGACATTCGGGTCAGTAGTCAGGCTCCTGATGAGAACCGTGATCATCTGCAGAGGGATATGCTGCACGAGGCTCGCCAGGGCTACGGAAGGTTCAGACGATGCGTCTGTGTGGTTTTAATGAAGAAGACAAAGGGACACGGCAAGAAGGTGTAAATGAAGTATGTACAGAGAACAGCTTACCACCCCTTCCACCGAGGGGTTGCTATGCTCCACCCACTGTGTAGACACTAACATACAAAGAATGTTGAACTGCAGAAATGAGAGATTAAAAGCTAATTTCATTCTATAGGAAGAACTACTGCAACATAAAAACTATTCTTCGCTATCACCATATTTAGTCCCTAAGTTACTTTATTTTCTTGCATTCTTTAATATTTTGTTGTGCCAAAATAGTCATTTGTAAAAGCAGTAGTCAGAAAAGAAGTGCAAGGCATCATTTAAATTGACTCCTTAGATCCTCCAAAGTAGCTTACCCCTATTAATTACAGTAGTTGTTACACTGCTCTAAGGACAATTTTTTAAATCTCTTACGGAAGTAGAAATTAAGATGAATATTAGGAGGATTTTGCTTAAAACACATACAAATCGGGCAAAGCCAAGGTGAGCACCTGTACTGCCACAGGTGAGAAAGCTCTTGGGAAACCTAATTGTTCTAGCAACACAGGCAATGTAAGAACAAGTACAATTAAAAAATAAACCGAAACTCAGATAATGCAAATACACAGCTGACAATTTTCACTAATGCATTTAACTCAACAGAAAGCATGGGGCCTGCTAAAACTCTCGTCTTAGTTCTAATTCTCAAGCTAAAAGGGGGTTCCCTCCTTCACAACCTCAGTTTCCAACAACAGCCGGAAGGATGACGGTACCAAGCAGAGAGGGAGTGAACACAGTTTTGGATCTAGTGTTGCACAACTTAGAGAGCTGGAAGCTCCATGTCTGGACAAGGAATGTAAACTCACAGGTAAAATTTCTGGGTGAGAAGGCATTTTCCTGTTAAGTTATCACCTGACCCCATCCGGTAGTTCTAAGGACACAATTCGTGGCCTATATACACCTGGAGCAGGAAACACCCGAACACTCAGCAACGCCCGCCCCCCCACCCCATCCACTCTCACAAACTAAAGTGGACAGAAGATGCCAACATTTAGGAACTACACGGCTAACTTGGATAATCCAGTAATAAAACGAACGGCACAGTCCAGGAATTAAAATGTGGGAAAATTCAGAAGCTAAGGAAGAACTCATGACAACAAGATGACAGAGTCACAGCACGACTATGATACGGTAAACATGATTATGCTGCCATTAGTCACTTATGAATAAAAGCTTTACATGCTTTACATAGTAGCTGTCATCCTCAAAGCATTCCATAACTTGAGCAGAGACTGAGTAATTAAGCGACTTGTTTCCTTGCCAAAGTCTTAGACCTGGACATTCTCAACCTTTAAAATAGAAACACTGCCCTGTTTTTTTTTTAAAGTCCAAAGTGACAGGCTGAATATGGCAGTGGAAGAGAATCTGGATGAGGGTGTTAAGATTTGCTTTTCCCCGAAGACGTTTTCAGAGCAGGGAAACGAACACAGTGTGTATGTAAGAGAAACAAACTACATTTCCAAGAGAGGTTGTCCGGGGAGCCCACGACCCTTACCTGTGGAGGAAATGCTTGCAAAAACTTCTTGCAGAGAAGGCAGCAGGGTGGAGGGCTCGGCCTTCCAGATGTTCTGCAGCAAGTTACTCACTTTTGTCACCTGCGAAACATATTCCCGCAGCTCTTTCTCCTGGGTGGACACGCACTGGAAGTGGCCTATCGTTCGAACCAGCTGCTGGCAGAAGGTGACGGACAACTTGCCCTTGGGGATGCACTGCACGAAGTCGGTCAGGAGCTCGCTGAGTCGGGCGCACAGCTGCGGCTCCGGCCTCTCGCACACCATCCGCAGCACCTCCACCTGCAGCAGGCTAAAGAGGTCCAGCACCGACGGGCAGCTCATGATCAGCTTCAGGCCGTTGTGAATGTAGTCCACGATGGCTACGTCCTTCCTGTCCAGCGAGTGGTAGCCCTGCTGAAGGAGACCCAGCACGAACGTCTTGTTGAAGAAGGACTCGAACTCCGGCCGGTGGTAGCGCGCGTAAGCCTCCAGCACTTGGTGGCCCACCTGCCGCTGAAAGGGGTCCTGGCCCTCCAGGATGAGCCGGGTCGTCAGGTCAAACATGGCCTCGCACTGCGCCTCGTCCAGCCAGTGCTCCGCCGACTCCACCACCTTCCGCACGATCACCCGCTTTAGGGGCAGCGGGTGCGAAGAACTCACCAGGCCCTCCAGGATCTTGTCCATCGTCGCCACGCGGCAAGTCCCGGGCCAGGGGGTGAGGAGCCGGTGGCCACGGCCCCGAGGTGGGCCGGGAGAGCCCCGGGGCGGAGGCGAACCTGGAGCGCAGCAGCGGGACCGACCACCGCCACCGCTGCCTCAGTAGCCACATTTATCGGGCAGGGGGGCCCATCCGAGTCCGGGCGGGAGTTGGCAACTCTGGGGCGCCTAAGAACCGGCCCCGTCCGCGCTGGGCCTAAGGAGCCAGAGGCCCACACTCCGCCGCCGCCGCCGCCGCCCCGGGCCCGCGGTCTCTCTCAGCATCAGCGCGGAGGGGCCAGCGGGGGCCCCCCAGCGGCGGCAGGCACTCAGGGCCCGGGGCTGCCAGCCGCCGGGTGAGGAAGCGCGCCTCTGCGAACCGCGGCAGGTGTAGGCGTTCGGGCTCCAGCAGGTCCTGGGATGAAGCCCGCCCTGGGTTGAGTCAGGAGCGGCTGTCACGAAAGGTGCCGGATCAGCCCGGCAGAAGAGGAGGCGGACACCCTTGACCCGGATTCAGAAGGTCCAGCGAACAGGAAGTGAAGGACGTCGGAACCTCCGGAAAGGCCCGCCCCTCCGCCCTCCTCCCTACGCTACTTCTCTCTTCCTTCCCCTCTCTCCCTCCTCCACCCACGCCCGCTACCCGCTCCCGGGCCTCCCTCGGAACCCCCCGCGGTCCCACCTCCTCGCTGCCGCGCAGGCGCGGCCGCCCCGGAGGAGTCGCGCGGCGACACCGGCGTCACTGGGGATCACGTGTAAGTCATAGGCGGCTTTCCGGGGGGTGCGGCCGGGAGCCGCTCCGGGAGAGCGGTGGACGTGATGAGTCCAGGATTCCCAGCTTCCGCTCTCTTGTCGGTTCTGTTCGGGTCGGGTTACTTGTGAAAGGCCGAGAAAGTTGTATTTAGTTCAAGTCTTGTGAATCAGAAAGTTTTGGAAATGCGAACCGAAGAGCATTTGGGGGAGAAAATAAGGAAAAGGACTCAAAACTCGGATTGAAGAGAAGTCGTTTAAAGTCGTGGCTTATTCATCAAGAGATGAACTAGGGTTCCTGAATGCGAGTGCCTTTCTCTTAACCCGTGGTTATTAAAGTAAGGGCGGTACTGGCGGCGGTATATACATTTAGAAACGATCCACTGTCTTTAACCGGTATCTTTATAATGAGCTTTTGTGGGATAGCTACCAGGGCTCCCTTGATAGCTCTGTTGGTAAAGAATCCGCCTGCAATGCGGGAGACCCCGGTTCGATCCCTGGGTTGAGAAGATCCCCTGAAGAAGGGAAAGGTACCCACTCCAGTATTCTGGCCTGGAGAATTCCATAGACTGTAGAGTCCATGGAATAGCAAAGAGTGGGACACGACTGAGCGATGGGGAAGCAATGATAGTGTGGGACAGCGAAAAATACGTTGTCCCCAGAATGGGAGGAGAGTAAGGAAAATGATAGGTGAGAAAGAATGACAGTACTTTGAAAATAAACCCGGTGAAATCTTCACAGTATTTATGTTATGCTGACACTGGTTAACAATAAAGAAAAGATGGAGTCATCATGTTTGTAGTTTTTCAAGTTAAATTCCAAAGATTCTCAATAAGAATTTAGGCTTTCATCAGAGGCCTTTAAATTGAAAAATTACCTAATTATGGCTCCGTTAAAACTTGACTCCTATGATTGTGAAATCAGACCTTAATGGCCTATAATACCGATGAAAATTTAAAGAACTGGTTCATTTAAAACGTACAACAGTAAAGAAGCAAAATTGTGAGTTGTTTACTTTGCTCAATGGTGTTTGGGTTTCTACCAATTTACAAAGTGGTTACACCAATATATTTAATACATTAGTAAAGGGTAATCTTGGGGCTTCCCAGATGGTTCAATTGTAAGTTGTTTGCTTGTTAAGACGAAAGATGCGGGTTCATTCCCTGGGTCAGGAAGATCCCCTGGAGAAGGGAATGGCATCCTGCTCCAGTATTCTTACCTGGAAAATCCCATGGATGGAGGAACGTGGACGGCTATAGTCCATGGAGTCTTGGAGTTGGACCTGACTGATTGGCTGAGCACACACGCATGGATAATCTTGGAAAGAATAGCAGTTTAAACAGGATAGAAACTGGGTAGAGAAACTTGAGATGGAGTTAGTTTGTAGAAAGAGATTGATGATGAAAGAGAAATGAGGTAATTGGTGGATGTAAAAGTCATGCTAGAACTCGAATAGCTTTGGAACTTTTTCTTTTCCAATAGATGGAAAGTAAAACTATAGAGAAAAGTTTGACTTTACTGGGAATGGTGCCACATTGGAAGACAAAAATAAGGTGAAAGTAAAATATTAAGAGGAATGAATGGTAGGATTGTGAATTTACTGATTTAATTTTAATTCTAAGATGTGAAATGAACAATATTTAAATACTATACCTACACCCTATGTTACGTAGGACTTCCCTGGTGGTTCAGACTGTAAAGCGTCTGCCTACAATGAGGGAGACCCAGGTTTGATCCCTGGGTCGGGAAGATCCTCTGGAGAAGGAAATGGCAGCCTACTCAGTACTCTTGCCTGGAAAATCCCATGGACAGAGGAGCCTCGTAGGCTACAGTCCATGGGGTCGCAAAGAGTCAGACACGACTGAGCGACTTCACTTTCCTATCCTATGTTATGTATTAAGGGAATGAGAGGAAAAGACAATATTTGTTATACATATTAATTTATTTGAAGCAAATATTTTTGTTATACACTAAGCAAATATACTATACATTCATAATGAAATAAGGAAGAAATGCTTGTGACAACAACAGCCCAGATTCTGTCACTGAAGATGTGATTATAGTTGGTATTTTAACAACCTTTTCCCACCACTGTCTATTCTGTATTCCCTTTGCCTTCAGCAAGTACCTCAGCTGGTTGTAGTTCTTTGCCTGATGGAATGACCCAGACAAACCTTCATTTCTGAAGAGTCTGGGCCATGAGTAGTCCTGCCTGGGGTTGGATTGTTGTAGATTTACACTGGCTTTAATCACACAGCATGGTAACACTTAAGAGATGTCCTGAGGGATATCTTGTATTCCAGACGGAGTGCATTCCTTATCTCTATTATAGAATTGCTGTCCAGTTTTCTCTTGGTAGTCAGGATCAATCACCCCAGCCAACACAGTAACTCCCTTCTTTACCTGTTGTTTCATAGATGTGAGGAATTCAAGGTGGCCTAGTGGCTTTCTCAGCTTGAAATTCAATGGAATCACTGTGGCATTTCCTGGTGGAAGCATTCTACAAGCAGAGCCTAAGGTCTCGGGAACAGGGAGCAAACATTTTGCTAATAAGTCACTAGGAGAAATAGTTGAGTGGTACCACTCCCATTTCTACCCTTTCATTTCTGAGCTTATGAATTCTGACTGTGAGAGAAACGGCACCAGGTATTGGGTGCTGATTCAAAGCATATTCTGGAAAGCTTTGCTACAGTTCTGCAAGTTTGAGTCACCTCGCTCTAAGTGCTGTCCCACTATTCTGTCCAGCCAGCTGCTTCAGGGTGGTGGGAAACACAGAGCAGTGAGTTCTGTGAATGTGGGTCCAGTTCCTCCCTTCATTTGTTGTGAAGTGAGTTCCTTCATCAGAAGCACTGCTGCATAGAGTACTATGATGCTGGATGAAGCATTCGGTAAGTTCATGGATGGTAGTTTTGGCAGAAGCACTGTGTGCAGGAAAGGCAGATTTATATCTGGAGTCAATATTTATTCCAGTAAGAACAAAATATTTCCCCTTCTGTGATGGAAAGAGTCCACGATAATCAACCTGCCACCAGGTTGGCAGGCATTCAAGGCGTGGTAACCCGAGGGTTGGTTTCTGCTGTTGGAAGATTTAATGCTCAGCAGTGGCCATAGCCAGGTTGGCCTTGAGGAGTGGAAGTGGAAGTCATGTTTCTGAGTCCATGTGTGACCTTCATTCTTGTCACCAGGGCCACTTTGTCCATGAGTACATTGGGCAATGATAGGGGTGACTAGGGAAAAAGTGATTGGCCATAGACCAGGAATCATTCTGTAATTGTATATCTGGCCATTTCTTCTTTCAATCAGAGTGAACAACCAGGTTCCCTGCTCAAAGTCTGCCCACTGGCAGGATTTCCTTCACCATTGCCCCTCAGGGATGTCCCAGAACAAGGGATTGTATTACTACAGCCATCTGCATTTGGGTGGGGCTTGTATATTGTCCAAATTCATCTGTAATCAAGGCCAGGGTCTTCTCTTCCACTGTCAGCTGATTGAGGGAACTCCCCATGAGGCCATTGGTGCAGATTTATTTTTTACTGGTATGCGAACATCTTACCATGAAGTCTAGAGTAGTTCCTACCCCAGGTCCATCTTTCGGTCATCAGGCCCAGTGAGCATAACGCCATCAGTGTACTGGAGCAGCGTGCTATCTTGTGGAAGAGAAAGGCAATCAAGATACCTGTGAATTAGATTATGACCCCTTCATTAGAACTGGAGGGTTCATAGTCCCCTGAGGTACGAGAGCGAAAGTGTATTGCTGTTGGCCTTGCTAGTGGAAACTGCTTCTGGTGGTCTTACCAATAGATATAGAAAAAAACAAACAAACAGAAAACATTTGTCAGATCAGTAGCTGCGTGTCAGGTGCCAGGGGATGTGTTTGTTTGCTCAGGCAATGGAGCTGCATCTGACAGAGCAGCTGCAACTGGCCTTTCCAGCTGACTAAGCTTATGATGATCCACTGTTGTTCTCTGAGATGCACCGCTCTCCTGCCCAGGTTAAATAGGTGAGCTGAATGTGGATGCAGTGGGAATCACCGTGCCTGCATTTTTCAAGTCCTTGATTGTGGCGCTAATCTACTGCAGTCTTTCCAGGAATGGGGCAGTGCTTCTAGTTTACCGTTTTCCTAGGTAGAGGCAGTTCTAATGGATTCCACCTTGCTATTCCCATTTGAATAACCCTCACTGTGTAGGTCAGGGAGCCATTGTGGGCATTCTGCTAGCTGCTGAGTGTGTCTGTTCCAGTAA